CCACAGATACTGGTGAATCAAAATCACAAATAAATTGTTCATTCAATTTCCACGGGACTTGTGGGGAATGTTTAGTGCTCTGAATTTCTCAGAGAAAAAGAAAATTCAGTCTTAAAGGATTCTTAGCTCATGTATAATTATTGGCACTACTGTCCAACATTCTCACCTATATCCTTGCACATTTTTAATAACAAGAGAGCCGGACTCGGTGGCTCAGTCTGTCATCCCAGCAATTTGGGAGGCCAAGGCAAGTGGATTGCCTGAGCCCGCGGTTTCAAGACCCACATGGACAACTTGGTGAGACCTCATCTCTACAATAAATCCAAAAAAAAATTAGCCGGGCATTGTAGCGTGTGCCTGTAGTTCCGGCTACTTGGACAGCTGAGGCGGAAGGATCGCTGGAGCCCAGCAGGGCGAGGCTGCGGTGGCCAGGAGCGGCCACTGCACTCCAGTCTGGGCAACACTCAACTCCAACTCAAAAAATAAAATAAAATAAAATAAAATAACAAGAGGTCAAACTAACGTGTTTAACCATTCCCAATGTATACTTAAGTAACGCTAAGGCCTGTTCCCAAACTTCAGGACTGTTTGAAATTCCCGCCTTTGAAAGCTGTGGTATCCCTATGCCTGAGGTCATCAGGATCCAGCTGCTGACATGTTAGTTCCTGAATCATACAGCAGTCACACAGCAATGCCACTGGAAAACTTCTCACCTGAGTGGGAACGCACTGTACCAGCTTAAACACTACCCAGTTCTTCTGCATTTAAGAGCTTGGCCACAGGCAGTATTTCCAAGTGGTCTCTCATCCAAGCAGCTAACCCAGCCTGACCCTGCTTAGATTCCAAGTCCCCGGTAGATCCAGCGCCTTCAGGCCTGGGCTGGGTGTAGTGGCCCAAGCCGGTCATCCCAGCATTTTGGGAGGTCGAGGTGAGAGGACTGCCTGAGCTCCAGGGTTCGAGACCAGCCGAGTAACTTGGAGAGACCTCATCTCTACAATAAATCAAAAATGAGCCGGGCGTGGTAGCAGGCACCTGTAGTTCCAGCTACTTGGAAGGCTGAGGCGGGAGGATCACTGAGCCCAGCAGGTCAGGGGTGCAGTGGCTATGAGTGTGACACTGCCCTCCAGCCTGGGCGACAGAGTGAGAGTCCGACCCAAAAGAAAAAAAAGAGCATGGCTACCTCCAATTCCCACTGCCCTATTTGCACATGCCTTAGCACCCCTGTCCCAGGCCCACATCATTGCCACAAATCCCGACATTTTCCCAAATGCAAAAGAATTGGGAGAGAAGCTGTAAGCCACTGGTTTTCAGCTTTAACTTCTCACCTGCACAGAACAAAAATCTGTTCTATGCAAATGTTACCTTTTTCTCCAAGGATCAAGAAACAAGACTACCAATGTTTTTCAGTTACAGATATCATCTATTCATCCAGCATAGAAATTCTGTTTTAAAAGCTCAGGCAGGTAGCCGGGCTCAGTGGCTCAGCCTGTAATCCCGCGACTTGGGAGGCTGAGGTGAGTGGATTGCCTGAGCCCGCAGGTTCGAGACCCGCCTGGGCAACTTGGCGAGACCTCATCTCTACAATAAATAAAAAAAACTAGCCGGGTGTGGTAGCGCGCGCCTGTAGTTCCAGCTACTCGGAAGACTGAAGTGGAAGGATCCCCAGAGTCCAACAGGTCGAGGCTGCGGTGGCCGGGAGTGGCCACTACACTGCAGTCTGGGAGACTGAGTGAGACTCCAACTCACAAAAAATAAAATAAATTAAATAAATTTTTAAAAATTAAAGTTCAGGCAGGCAAGGACAAACAAAATGTCTAGGAAGCCACTGGTTAGCCCCAAATTCCCAACCAAGTGGAGTCATGTACTGTAGTGCCACGCCAAGCCAGAGCTCCGCTGTGCGTCGGAGCTGCCAGAAGTCAAGAAAGAGATGACAGCCACACCCCCAACAAGCCAGTGCCAGCCAACAGGGTCAGGACATCCGCTCCGGCTTTCACCTTGGCTAGCAAAGTAACCTTGAGACAAAGATCAGCTTCTGTCACTGTTTCTGCTCTCTTCGGCCTTTTCTGCCCATAAAGCCACGCTCCTAGGCTCAGTTCCCCAGAGCACCCACTCTGTCCTACAGAAAGAGGTGTTGCCTGATTCTAGAAATGCAAATAAAAGTCCACCAAGGTCTTTAAACCAAATGTGTGCATCTGTGTGTTTTTATTGTTTGTTTGTTTTTTTGAGTAGGAATCTCACTCTGTGCCCAAGCTGGAGGGCCATGGCACACTCCCAGCCACCGCAGCCTCCACCTGCTGGGCTCAGGCGATCTTCCGCCTCAGCCTTCCAAGTAGCTGGAACCACAGGCGCACACCACCACGCCCAGCTAATTTTTGGGTTTATTATAGAGACGAGGTCTCACCAAGCTGCCCAGGCTGGACTCAGGCAATTCCCTCACCTCAGTCTCCCAAAGTGCTGGGATGAGCCACCACGTCCGGCTTAACTAAATTCGTTTGAATTTTGTCTTTTGACAATTCTATAAGGAAAGTGGAAGATGCATGGGAGTAGAAAAGGAAGAATGCACTTCAAATAGTCTGCCTGGTAGCCGGTTAACAAAATCATCGCGTCTTTGACTTTACTTTTTTGGAGTTTGGGGATTTTTGTGGTTGTTTATTTGTTTGTTTGGGTTTTGGGTTTTTGTTTTGTTGTGGGGGACATTGTTGGGTTTTTCGTTTTGTTTTGGTAGAGACAGGGTCTCGCTATGTTGCCCAGGGTGGTCTCGAACTCCTGGCCTCTAGTGAGCCTGCCATCTCAGCTGTCCAAAGTGCTGGGATTGCAGTTGTGAGTTACCACACCCCAGCCGAGTCCTTGACTTTCAGAAATGTAGGAAGTAGCTAATTAAAATGCACACCCTCAGAAGCCTGCAGGCAAAGTCCAACACTGGAGGACGTGGTTACTCCTTCCCAGCACCCAACTGTCTTTCTGAAGGGAAAGCTTAACCTATTTCTGCATGAAAAGGGCCAGGTCTTCCACACTCTTGACCCTTGTATTTGAGGGTCACTGTGAGCTCCGGGTAGAGGATTTGACCTTGACCTACCATCTTCCTGGCCTCAGTGATTGATTCACTTGAGCCAAGCAGACCAATCAGAGCCAACCTTGGATATTTTGTCCAAGTGATGGGGGGGGGGTGGAGCCAGCCACAAGGGAGGCTCCACGGGGGAGGGTCTGAAGCCACAGGGGGTGGGGGGTTCTGAAATAAAGCCAGCGACTTGGGAAGACAGAAGCCACACCCCGATGACTGCACCTGAACTCTGGATCTAGGGATTCTGGAAGCCAAGGTCTCTCTCTAGACTTTTCAGTTACAGGCACAAATAAATCTCTCCTTTTCTGGTTTTCCTTAAGCCAGTTAGAGTTAGGATTTTTTTGTCTGGCTTGGGTCATTTGCAACTGATAGAGTACTGATCAGAACCCTGGTGGCCTCATGAGGACATAAGAAATACACAGAAATTCAGTTGCTTCACTTCCCCATCAAGGCATATGCCAAGTGTGTCTTTCTTTTTGTCTCCGATTCGTTGTTCATAGAGCTTCAGTAACCCTGTTCAATGGTGCACAGTTTTAATGCCATAATAAATCCAAATAATATAATGCTTTTCATATATCTCATTCACAAGTTACCTTCGTGTGTATTTTTTAAATATATAAAACTGGACTAATGAACACTTTGTTCACATTTATAAATTAAGAACGAACTAAAATATATATATATATATATTTTTTTTTTTTTTTTTTTTTTTTTTTTTTTGAGTCAGGGTTTCACTCTGTTGCCCAGGCTGGAGTGCAGTGGCACAATGACAGTTCATCACAGCCTTGATCTCTTGGGTTCAGGCAATCCTCCTATGTCTGCCTCCTAAGTAGCTGGGACTACAGGTGCATGCCACCATAACCTGGCTTTTCTTTCTTTCTTTCTTTCTTTCTTTCTTTCTTTCTTTCTTTCTTTCTTTCTTTCTTTCTTTTTTTAAATTATAAAGATGTGGGGTACAATTCAGGATTAGGCATACAAACATTGATCATGCAGGTACCCTCGTGGATGAGGTATGCCCCTCCCTCCCCTAGCAGCTGCCAATTCCACCCCCCACCCCACCCCCAGTTTCCCACTACTGAACCTAGTTTTTCGTTTGTTTGGTTTGGTTTTTGTTTTTGTTTTTGTAGAGATGAGGTCTCGTTATGTTACCCAGGCTGGTCAACTTCTAAGCTGAAGCAATCCTCCTGCCTCGGCCTCTGCCTCCTAAAGGGCTGGGATTACAGGCATAAGCCGCCGTGCCCAACTAAAAGTTTTTGAAGTTTAGTTGGCACTAAGACTTCACAGCTAGTAAGTAAGTGGTCGGGGCCAGGTCTTTTTTTTATTGTCCTTCATTATCTTTTTGTCCATTACTCTTTTCATCACTCCACAAACACTTTTTTTTTTTTTTTTTTT